CCTTAACTTCCTCTTCCAGTCACCATAAAAAGTAACAGCTGGTTATTTATAGAAACTATCAGAAAGGCATGGACAAAACACATGTCATCAATAAATATAGTCTTTTAAAAGTGTTTTTGACTAATGAAGCCAAAGCACCGAATTTTAAATTCAAAAACTAGGAGAGAGTATAGAGTAAAATGTGAATCTCTCATATAATCTTTCTTTCCAATTACTAGTTCTCCTGCCCATGGACAACCAGTGTTACCAGTTTTTAAAGTGTTCATTAGAAAATTATATGATTATGTAAGCAGAGATTTTCTTTAACACAAATAGCAGCACAGTATCAATACTGGTCCTCAGTAGCAAAGTGCTATCTTATATGCATTTTTTCTTCTATTATTAGGAGTTCATTGTTCTCAAAATTCGTCTCTTTACCAAATTGGTGAAGTTGGGCAGCTATCCTATCAGGCTCAAGTAGAAAATCCAGCRCATGACTGTATGACACTAACCTTGCTATTCTGGCTCTCTGGTAACCTTATCTGGTGTCCTCCCACAATTTCTGGGGGAAAAAAGAGTCATGCTGCTAGTATGGAATCTTGTGGTTAACCATGAAAAGAAAGAAGCCCTGAGATTGGTCAACAGAACATATCTCATGTCCTCTAGTTTCCTTTCCCTTATAACTCAGCAGCTCTAGCCAGTCATTGAAGTTCATGGGTAAAGTATGCGTTTCATCTCTCTGTGTCTTTCCTCTACACAGCATGTGCTAAGGCTTTTGTTGAATAATGATGACAAAAGAAGCTAGACATGTTACTGATTGTGGAAATTAACTAGAACTTCTCTAGAAGACACAGAAGACACTGCATGGAACATCACAATATTCACCTGGCTATGTGTGTGAAGCACTTCTTTGACTAGAGGAAATCAGTTGCTGACTGAAGAGCTGGAGATGGTACATGAAGAGGACTGCTGGTATTGTTTCAACTAAGGTAAGTTTTGGTAGAAATGGTAAAAGCATGAGGCTTGAGAGTAGGAGAAATAACTCTTCTGCAGCCCCAATTGTAGCTATACTACATTGACACATTTCCAATGAGAAAATTCCCAAGGATAGCACCTGGAAAACTCTGAATTGAACTAGAAGCATTTTCCTGGGCTGTATAACAGTTTTGAACTTGAGATATGAGCCATTTGAAGTACCTAGAGGTCTTAGATAAGGTGGCTGGGAAACTGGAAGCCCCAGACTAAATCAGCCACAGTGGGATGGGACAATCATCTAGAACTCTTGTCTTTTATGGCTCAAATGTGAAACCAGATGTGTGGTAGTCTGCTGGGGAGCTACATTTTAAAAAGCAGAAGTGTTTTATTGCAACCATTCTCCCCCGTATCTGTTCTTTCCAATGTATGTGCTTTTAACTAGTGAGGCTGTCCCAAGATTTTGCCTTCTATGGAGTCATGGCTACTTGACTCCTTTAATCATGTGCAATTCCAAGTTGCAATTTAAGATTCCTACTTGATTATAAAACTAAAATACAATTTTTATCCAGAATTGTTAATAGCAAAAGTGCCATATTTGTCCAATGCCTATTGTGAAGCTTTACTATCATTTTATTCTCAATTTTGCCTTTTGCAAAATGAAAAGTGGGATCACATGAAATAATTTCTAACTTTCCTTCCATCATCTTAATATTCTCAGAGCTCATGAAAATTCTTCTCTATATATTCCCTTTTCCTTGTAGATAAATATTAACTGGCAAGAAAAGAAAAAGATAATATAAGAGGAATTCCCTAATGTTCATTTAACTCAAGAGTCATAGAAACATTTTATTTGTATCAGAATTTTTTTCAACTCTGGTTTACAAAGATGAACAGTCATACCTGGGTTTTGTTATAAAAGAGACCATTTTAAAGTTTCATACTTACTTTCTCAATAGCAGATAAGGGCATAATTTACCAAACTATCTGCTTTTCCTACATAATACTGTCACATTTTCATGTGCATATCTCAATATTATCTCAAGTTTCTGGCTTAGGCCAAGTGATCTAAATACAAAAAGAGTAGTTCCTCTACCTTGCCCTCCCACCTTTTTTCCCTGTCAGTAATACTTCAGGTTTCACATTCACAACCATTAAGTCATTTTGGACTTCTCCCTTTTCCCAAGGGCATTCAATCATTCACAAAGCCTCTGTGATTGTTAAATCACAGTGGATCACTTACCTGTCTCTTCCGCTCCTCTCTCACTATCTATACCATAATTTTAGGTCAGTTCTGCCATATGAGCTTTCAAATTTGTTTCCCACCCCTTTCCAAACCATCCAATAACCAACAACCATTAAAGTGTTGGTCTTCCTAGAATAGGATAGTCTCCACATCATCTCTTGACAAAACCCTTCACAGATTCCCAACGGTATATAGGATACATAATCTCTTCCTTAGTGTGTATGTGTTTCCCTCTTTCATTTTGCAAATCTCTGTAATTTTGTCCTACTTTTCCTCTCTACCTTTTTCTTATTCCTGTCCCCCATATTTCCCTGGCATTCCTTGTTTATGCTGTCAGTTCCATAGATCTGACCTTCTTTATCCTCCCACTTATCAAAATCCTATTCATATACCACAATCCAGACCAAATCCTCATTTTCAAAGCCCAGATTCATCTTCTTTGTTTTTTTACCTATACCAACCTGATGTGATTCCTCTGTTTTCTGTTACCTTACAGATTTATTAAGCATGACACATATTTGAGACTTTTATAAATTATTATATTTTCTTAGTTTTCTTTTAACTTCCATGTGCTTTCTATCTTCCCAACTAAATAACAAGGTAACTAAGGAAAGTTACAGTATTTTATTCACATAATGGGTCTTGATTCTGGAGTCAGAATGCCTGAATTTTAGTTCTTATGCTATTGATCATTTATTGAGTGTAATCATGGTCTCAGTTTTCTCATCTGCAAAATGGAAATAAGAATGAGTTTTCCCCTCTAGGAGTTTTGAAATAAGATCACACACATGCAAAGTACTTAGAATATCTAAAACTTGGTAAGCATTTGTTAAATGTTAGTTATTGACTACTATTATTCATCTTTCTTACCTCCAAAGGACCTAAGCAGAGTGCCCTGATCTTTAACCATGCTTAATCAATATTGAATGGAACTCAGTTGGACTGAATTGTAGGATAGAGGGCACTGTGTGGGTGGTATTTTGTGGAATGGGGAAACTATCTGCCATCACTAAAATCATGCCATAGGTTGTCACTTACTGTCAAATCCAGCCTAAATCCCTGCTACTCTCCAATTCTGCTCCAGAAACTTCTGAGAGTTTGGCCCAGTGAACAGAGGCTGTTTTCCTAGAACATCCTACCCTTTCTGGCAATAAAATCTGACCCTGCAGCAGAGAGCAGGTTTCTAGTTTTCCCAGGGTCCTCAAGGTGCTACGAAAAAATGTAAACCACAAAAGTCAGCCTCCTGTCTACAATTTTATTAAATAAGCCTCAAGATTGGCCTACTAAAGTGGAAAATGGGCTCCATTCGACACTTTCCTTTCATCTTACAGGTAGAACCAGTATGCTCATGGGCATCAGTCAGAAGGATGCTCTACCTGGGCTCTCATCAATAACAAAAGAGCAATAGATGCTAATCAAAGAGATGGAGGCATTCATGCTGTTCAACTGAGCCATATAAAGTCATTTTTTTTCTGTAAATAATATTAAACAGGAAACTATAAAGTTTGGGTCCCCATAAATATCATGGATACCACTACCATTAAGTAGCCAAAATTCAGGCTTAAGTCATCTACTAAACCCTGTTGAAAACAATGCAGATGAAAAATGTGATCAAAAGTGGTGTAATCTCAGATAAACACTCCAGCGTCGATTTTTTGTTTTATTATAATAAACTGGATTATAATATCCAGCTCACCTGGCTATGGTGACAATTAAATGAGATAAGGCATTTAAAGCAAACTACGGACCAAGTGGCACATGGTAGCCACACAGTCCACTAGGATCCTCCCTTCTCTCCAGAGGCAGAAGCATCCTGCCCAGAGCTAGGAATGATGATCTTGGTAACTATTCCACAGGCAGGTGAATAAGATTATTTGAACATTCCTGAAATGTTGACCTAGATTGTTGGATTCATAGAATAGGAAGGCTCTCGGCTCTCAGAGTTGTTTACACTTGCAACTTAGGTGCCCACCTCAGTACAGAAGGCTGTTTCTTCTCCATCTCCTGTAAGAGATCTGAATTTATTCTGGGTTTAACCTTGATTTTGACATGATTGCCATTTCCAACAAGGCCAATTTCCTTGTTGAAAGAAGTCCTTCCTGAGGGTGAAATCCCAATAGCCTCATTTGCTTAAATTTCCTTAATGGTCTTATTTATGCAGGGTGTGGTTTTTTCCCCCTCGGTGCAGAATATAGATAATAAATAAACAACCACGGGAAACATGCCCTAAGAAGGGGGCCCGTTGATTCCCTTGATGCCCAGAGCATGATCCGTGTTGCTGGGCGGAGAAGGTGTTGACCAGCCCAGGCGCACCCTCGGGACAGCTCTGCGGGAGCCGCGAGGGGAGGTCGGGACCCCTGGGTTGGGCCGGGAAAGGGAATGGGTGAGAGGGGAGGAGGCGCGGGAACCTCGGGCGGCCCCAGCAGCCGGGTAGAGCCCGACAGGTCCCAGCAACTCCCCTCACCCTTCTCCACGCCTCCCGGGTTTTCCCCCTGGCTCAGGGTTTCCTGTTTCAGTTCTCGGCGATCTCCAGCAGCAGGTGCTGGTTTGCCAACCTCGGCTCCAGAGGCGGCGAAGGAGAAGGAAAAGAGAGAAGGGGAGGAGGAAGCGGCGCGCGGCGGCGGCTGCCGGCGGGCGGGCAAGGAGCGAGGCGGCAGGCGGCCGAGGCGAGTTCGCTCTCGCCCGCGGAGCAGCGGCGCGGGCGGCGGGCCGAGCCGAGGGCTGGGGGCGCGCCCGAGCCGGGGCCCCGGCTTGCGGCCGGCTGGCCGGGCGGGCGGGCGGCATGGGGAAGCCTCCCGCTTGCCCTGCGCCCTAGCGGCTGCCGCGGCGGCCCAGGGCTGAGGCGAAAGGCGGCCGCCTGCCGCAGGGCCCCGGGGCTGCCCCGGCTCCCAGAGCATGTGATGGCTGCTGAGAAGAGACTGCAAGTAGGTTGAGCAACAGATCCCGGCGCGCGCGACTGTGGGGTGTGAGCTGTGCCAGCCGGGAGAGGGGGGCTCCGGGGCCCGCTGAGAGGGCGAGCGGACGGGCGCGGCTCGGCGCGGGGAGGGCCGAGCTGGCCGCTGTGGCCGCGGGCCCCGCCGCCCGCTCGCCGCTTCCTCGCGGGATTGGCCATGCCGGGTAGCGGCCCCCAGGTTTGTCCTCGGGAAGGGGGTTGGGGTGCCGACGGCGGCGAGAGGGACGCTGAAGGAACGGACGTGGGGAGGCCAGGGGGCCGGGAGGCCGCGTCTGGACGCCGGGCTGGGACCGGAGCGGCCGAGCCGGGTGATCTCCAGGCCCAGGCGGGTCGCACTGCCCGAGGTCGAGTCGCCGAGCTCCCGCCACTCAGGTGGCACGGAGCGGAAAGCCCAGCGCATCCTCTGCGGGCGGCTCCGGTCCCGCCAGGATTTCGGGCGAGGTGAGGCCGGTGTCCGGCCCCGCGGCCTAGGGCACTGGTCGGCTCCCTCCCGGCCGGGGGCACGGCGGCCGAACATGGAGGCGGGCTCCGGCGTCCGCGGTGGAAACGGACCCAAAGCTGTGCCGCTGCGGCTCGGACCCTCGCGCGCTCGTGGGGTGAGGCATCAGCCGACATCTCGGATCCGGCCCCAGCCGTTCGCTTTTATTATCCATCGCTCCATCCTACCACCCCACTCGGCCGGTCCTGATGAAGACCCCTCACCCCCGCGTCCCTCCTTCTCCCTCTCTGCTCAGGCTCCAGCCCAGTTCCCTTTCACACCAGGCGTTCCTTTTAGCTCGGCTACTTCACATGTTTAACTCCTTACAAAGAGGTGCTATAGATATAACTTGGAGAAATGAATCCCGCTTTTCTTCCTTAAACTGTTTCATCCTTTACCGCTTAAAGTCCTGAAAAACAGAGGTAGCTTCCAAGTACTGAGTTCTCTTAACTGCGCCTCTTGCCTTTTGGGTACCCGTTAACAATCCTGCATTGTGTTTTGTGGTAAAGAGATGAAACACTAATCTCGATTTAGGGAAAGTTTTCCCATTGGTTGCAAGACTGTTGGACTATCTCCAGGCCCATCAGGCGCTTATTGATTCAGTGTTTTGTTTTTTTTTTTAACCACCTTAGAATAGATGCAGATATCCTTGGGCCTGAGTACTGTATATTCAGAAATTTGGGAAGGTTGTTCAGTTCTTATTTCCTCACTGAGTTTTTCATTTTCTCATGTTAATGTAAACAGAAAATAGGAAATACGCCTCAAATACATTTTTTGGACTTTCCAAAAACCATAGAAAGTCAGGAGTACAGAGGGTTTGAGTTCCATTTATTTCATCTCTGACATAGGCCAAAATTCATTTAGTTTTAGTACGTATTCTTGAATTTTTTTTGTATTCTCTGATGTTTGAATATATAGATAGCTGACTAAATATTTGTAAAATAAATCTTACTGTGACAAGCTCAGGAAGATGACTATTTTAGACTTGCCCCTCTATACACCTTTTTTCTAATGTGGCCTGCCTATATTAAGTTACCTAACTTAGTCTCCTTGAAGGTACCATAAAAATATCATAGTTGACTAATGAATCCATAATTCAAAATGTTTGAATATCTTTATTTAAAGAATGGGTTTACTTTCAAAGTAAGTTGCAGTTCTTCTAGCATTGTAAATGTACTTAAACATTATAAGCAAAATAAAGTGAATTTTTTTTTTCCTGGGTATTGAACCCAGGACCTCCCACATTCTAGACACTCTACCACTGCTCTACTCCCATAGCCCAAAGTAAACTTAAAACAACAAGAAATAGATAATTATTTTACACACACGCACCCCGTTTAATAATCAAAGTCTGATGGAAAGTAGTATAATGGAAAATATTAATGGATAGAAAACAGASACTTGGAATGCTTGTATGCTGATGGGAGTTTTATTTATCACTTCCTTTTACTAAGTTTTTGTTTTAATTACCAGAATAATAAAATATTCTATATTTCAGGCTTCTCTGGAGCTATGTTTTGATGGGTTGCATCTGCCAAATTGGACCCCAAGTGATTAATAGAAATTGTATCTTTAAAACATTTTTTCTCATTTTTTACTTTGCCCTGATTCTAGCAGCCCACAGTGATTTCTACATTTATTTTTTAATTAATATATGTATAAGGTGTTATCATTTTATATCTGCTTAGTGGTTTTCATATATAAACTAGAAGGATTCTTTGATTCTGATTACATAGCAGTTTTTTAAAAAACAAGTAAGAAAAGTTTTGTCTTTTTAGCCTTGGAATATATTATTGTAAACGAATCTGCCAGTTACTGCTCATCTTGTTCCCTTGGCAAATAATTTAATATCAGTATAGGTGCTGAGTAAGACCCCTGACCTCTAAAGGGATAAATTACAAGGTAGGATTCATGTGCATATACCTGGGTGGGAGCCATTTCCAAGTAAGTAAATGAGTCAAGGAGCTGTAGCAGGAAAGCAGATAGTGGATGGACCTGCATCTGAAGCTTGTGGCACATTGGAGTAGTGGGTGATTAAGAAGGCAAATCTTGGGATATAGTTTGTAAGATGGTCAGCAAATAATATAAGTGTATTAAATCACTATTCCACATTTACACCTAAAATATTGAGATTCTGGTTTCTACATTTGATCTTAAATCTACCAAATGTTCTTAAAAAAAAAAAAAAAAACTTTAAATGTTAATATACCTTATAGGCCTGCAGCATTTGTCCACAGTTATTACTAGCAGAGAGTCCCAACTTAGTTCTCCTTAAAACAAAAATTAAGGTCTCTATAATAATAAATGTTAATAGATTAATCTTTTATTTTAAGGTTTAAATAATAGAATAGAATGATCTTACGTGGGAGTTTGTTTCTAAAAAGACATAACATTTTCCTATATACTTGGAATTTTATTGTTGATAGCATTTTGAATTCCACCTTCCCATTCCTATATAACAAACTAAGGATTTTCTTATGACATTCAAAATATTTCAAACATTTCCTTCCTAACAATGGATTATTTTTATCTAATCATTCTATTGCAGTTAGACATGTGTGCTTTTCCCCCAATATTTTAATATTATAATGATATGAACATCTCAGTAAAAATTTTTTTCTTTAGTATGTTTTTCGGATGGATTCCAAGAAATAATGATCAAAGAGAATAAGCCTTAAAGTTTTTGATGGTTTTTTTAACCAAAAGTTGTATTGATGTGTATATATCCATTAGCAAAGAGTCAGAGTGTTGATTTCATCCCATGTTTACACTCATTAAGTACTGACTTTTAAAATCTTTGACAATGTGTTAGATGGGCATTAATCTCTAATTTTAATGCTTACTTTTATACTTATATTGTAAAGTACTGGCGTGTGGTACTATATTTTAAAGTACTGATGTGTTGATTAAGAAAAGTAAAGTATGGAGGAAACTTAAGTTCATGTGAAATCTCCTCACCCAGAAATAAGTTATGTAAATATTTTAGTCAAGATTGTTCCAATTATTTGCATTCATATTTATGTAGTTTGCAGAATTTGTACATGAACTTTAAAGTAAAAACAAATGACAAGCATTTGTTTTTCAAATTAAGCAATTCAGAAGTAATTGCTTAATTCCCCATTTTCGAAATACTATATATTTCTTCATAATACTTGCAGATTAGATAAGAGCTGTTTCTTCCTCATTTCTGCTTTTTTCTGTCTCTGCTCTTCATCTATTAAAAAAAAAAATTACCCAGTGTATAGACTTGTCCTGAGGATTAACCAATGATCTGTTAGTGATGGTTATGACAAACAACAACAATAATAATAATAAATGGATAAGAGATGGTTATGATGATTATGATGATCGTTACAGAGCAAATACACAACTGATAGTCAGGCATTTAAAAATTAACTTAGAATATATTATGTGATTGCTTGAGGAGGAATATACATTTGCCTTTTAAGAATATAATTAACTTCGATTACTTCCTTTAGCAAGGTAAGAATATTACAAACATGAATTTTCCAAAATACCAGTTTTTAAGAGCAAAACATTTTTCTCTGTTTTAAAAGGAAGAATAATTAGTTCACATTGTATTTTCCTGTTTTCAAATAATATATATCCTGTGATATAAATTATTTTGAGAGGTAACAATAGCTAATATTTATTGTTCCTTAACTCTATGCTAGGCATAATTTAGAATTTACATTACGTAATGTAGTTTGATAACAACTATATAAAGTGTATGCTGCACTTTTTTTTTTCCTGCCTTGCAGGTGATGGAACTAGAGATGCTAAATAACTTGACCTGAATTATTTAGATTTCTAATTTACCCTAAATTAAATAACAATACTTCTATGCTGTTTATTTTAGGTGATGAGGTAGCAGGAATCAATTATTGATATTGATTCATAGCAGTGATTTTTGTTCTCTCCTTGATATTAGCTGTTCCTTGCTGACATTGTCATTCCCTTCCTCTAATTTGCAGATGATATCTGCTGTGGATTGTGAAACTGGATGACAAGAAGCTAATAATATATCTGAAATAAAATTTCTAGGCAGTGATTATAGGATGTTCAAATAGTCTAGATTGAGAAGTGAATATTCACACTGTATGGAGAGAGCAGGTTAAGGCTGTGACCTAAGGTAGATACACAGTTGAATTCTGGCCCTGCCATATTCTACCTGTGACTCTAGGCAAGACTCTTAATATCTCTTTGATTATTCACCTATGAAACACATTAACTTTGCAGAGTTGTTTTCTCATAATTCAAGATAATGAAAGTAAAAGTACTTAGCACAAAGAACAATTCAGTATTATGAAATGAATTAGCAGTATCCATTCATTTCATTGGACAGAGATTTTATTTATTTGTTTTGTTTTTCTACTTTTTCTCTGGCTCTCAGTTATGTTCCAAGTGCTTGGAACTGCCAATAATTAAACTTCTATAAAATCAAGTTTACTTTTATTGTTACTAAAATGTCAGCTTATATTTTAGGTTTTTCA